TAAAATGGAAAAGTAGAAACTCCCACAGACACAGGAGGGTTTGATGTGCAGCCTTGGGAGAATGTTGATGTAAAAATAAAATATACAGACATTAAGCAGAAAAATCATAAATGTGTGTTTCTGTAGTTGTAAGTAATTGTGTCTTAAGTAAGTAAAAAATTGCATTAAAAAGATGGTGAAGGATTTATAATGTAGGCGTGTAACTGTATAGAATAAGCTAAGAGTTTGGATTTCTAATAGAAGCATAGGTGTGTATGTGTAATAGTAGCCCGTTGGATAAAAGTATCTGCATTGCAGTAGAAGTAAAGGTAATAGGTTAGGAAAGCAAAATAAACCCTATGGCAACTGTCCATTTGATTAAGAAGTTATATATTGTCTTGTAACAAAAAACCTGTGACTATTTTGTGCTATGGCCAACTGCTTGCTCTCATAAATCTCACAGCCTCTGATACTGATGTTTATCTGAGCAATAAATCATTTTTAGCCCAACTGTGGTCCCATCCCTTTACTTAAAGCAGCAATAATGATATAGACACACAACAAATATTGGAAAGAAATAATACAATGCAGGGGAGTATAATAGCCCTTTATATTCTACATTCTTTGCTGGGAAAAGTAGCAGGGACACTGTGTAGCAGATTAAACTGTCAATGGCTCACTTAAAACCAATTAGAATTAACATTTGAATTCTTGTCTTAGTTGTATCAATGGCAGTGCAACTGTGCCAGGAAGAGAACGGTTCCCCAAATAGTGCCATCACTGTGAAGGACCCCTTACAAGGGACAGATTATTAACACTAGAGACACTGAAATTCCTTTGTTCAGGCTCTCACATTAAGATTTCTGAAGAACTAAACTTCAGGAGTTTTTCTGAACTTCCACAATGACATCACAAATTCAGCCCTGCCCCTTGCAGAGAACACCGTGGCCCAGCTCAGGGGTCTTACCCAGCCCCCATGCAGGAGTCACAGGTATTTATGCAAAGTTAACCCGGGAACAGGGAATCAAGCACATTCTCCCACAACCAGACAGCGCTTGGGCAGCTTAGCTTGAAGGGCTACTCCTAGGGTGATTCCTTCTGAACAGATAAGTACAAACAGAAATCACCTCCCTGCTTTTTTTTGGCTCTAACTCCATGACAGAAATCAATCACATTGCAAGAAGCTGAAAGTGGAATACCACACTTCATAAGTATTTTTTAAGATCAGTTCTACAGCCCAGAGTTTTAAAAACATATGTTTCTAACCAGCAACTATAATGATATCATATATAAATATATAATAATAAATATATAATTATAATTTATAATTCTTTAAATACCTGTAAAATGCATTGACTGTGAAGGATAACTGGGATGAGCAAAAGGATCTGTGCCTCCTTCTATATATAGCATGTGCTTAGAAACTGTGTTAGTGTTTAAAATAGCCCTAAATAAAAGAATACAACAGGATGTTCTTGTTAAAAATTCCAGCACTATCCTGATCATTTCAGTGTTCTGTAGTTCCTAGTGTGGCATATCTTTTTCCCCTGTAATAGTGATTTTTCTGCACCTGAACAGATAAGTGACTGTGCCCCCAACCTTTTGTAAGCTGTGGGACAATCGTAAAATATATTTATTCCTTTTCAGAGGGAAATACCAAACTGGTGTTCTTTTTCTGTTATCAGCCACTCATAAAAGAGTTATACTGGTAGTGAAAACTGATAATAAATCTAAGTAAAATACTAATTTGCTTTCCCTGATTTAAACATACCTATTTTGTATTGAATGAAAGTATGGCAGTAAAAAAGAAAGAAAAATTAAGATAAAAATTAAACATTTGCACATTAGAATTTAACCATAATTTACATAGTCATAGTTACACAGTATATTATCTAAATTCAAAGCCGCAAACTCAAATTCAGGCTTCTCAAGTGGTACACACATCAGATTGGGGGAAGGGGAATGCAACTGCACCAAATTATCTTAAATGGAAAAACTTCGTGGCAAATCTTCAACTAAAACCTCTCCCGTAATTTCATTCCTTCATTTTGATTCCATTGGTGTTTGCGTTGCTACAATAAATAAAAATCAGAGACATTTTAGAAAGCTGACTATAAAATGCAATGGTAGTTTGTGTAAGTGCAGCCAAAGAGCCTCTGAAATCATAATATCCTGACTGGATGATTAACAACCATGGTTCTTCCATTTGCTCATGCCTGCAAAAATGTGAGTGGAATCCCACATAGACCTATTAGTACCCAAAGCTGAAATAAATCAGTTTTTTTACTACAACTCACTGCTGAAGCCATTAGACCCCCACAGAATGTTTAAAATATATCACATGTATACAAGATTCATATTAGCAGCCAACATTAAGGCAGCTTTGAATCATCAATATAAAAGCTGACATGTAGATTTTGCAGCAAAATAATAATAATTTCTTTTCCTCCTATTTTAAAATCTATTTCAATTCATCCTATCACTTTCGGAGTGTTATTTGTTATTTTGTTTGTTATCCTTTCAACTGAAACACTTAGGTATCCTAAATAGAGGCCACCATTACACAAAATCATACACAGGTACTGCACAATAGAAGGGACTAGAGGTACTTGAAGAAAGCAAACAAAACCCTGCAGTGAGAGACAGACTTTCTATATCTCTTGAATAATTCTGCTGCTGCAACATTATCAGTAAAATTCTTTATGTGAACGTTAATCTATAACCTTTGGGGTGCATTGCATTAATTCAGCTATATCAACTAAATTATGCCCATGAATTCTTTTGTATACTGATTATTTAGACATTTATAATAAGGTCATTTTCTTCCTTTGATAGCAAAACCAGCCTAAATATTTTCTGCTCTGGTATAAATCATTAGAGCAGTCTAGAGGTTCTAGAATCTTTTGGTATGGCATGCACTCTACACAGAGTTGTTCATGAACTTGTTGAAAATAATAAACATGTTAATAAAGTCTTCTGAATCTAATTCCTACTTGAAAGTGATGATAGTGAAACCTGCTGGGATTCTTTAAAATGGAAAGCTAGATACTGTGCAATAATAATTCATTTATAAAGGCACTATGAAGGCAAGTAATATAATGAGAACATCAAACAGTAGAACGTATACTCCAAAATAATATTAAAAGCTACATATTCCATATGGACAAATGTAAAATATTGGATCTTTATCTTCATATCTTCACCAGTTTTTAGCTCTGAGAAACAGAACCATAATTCAAAGAAATATCACAAAAATTAATTATAGAGAATGAAGTATTTTCAGAAAAGTATGAATGAAGTATTTTAGAAAATCATTTAGAAATTTGTTATTGAAAGGAAACCTTGTGGTTGTGCACATGAATGAGGAATTCTTAAAAAGTTTCTTAAAGAATCTGGAAGGTCTCAATCTCTTTTCTTTGAAAATAAAAGCATTATTGTTATTGGGAAGAAAAACTTCAACACACAACCTGGGTGTACTGGTAACAGTTCAAATTCCCTCCACAAATTTTTATGCTGTAAAAAAAGTCTCCCGACTTTTTTTAGGCAATATGAATTATTTGATTCATAAATTGAATTATTTGGCACTGCTTATAAAATGCAGATTTCACTATTCTTTGGCAGCACCTGCTGCTAAATAACATACTGGGAGGAAGAGTTTAGCAGCACTCGGAGAAGGCTGGAACACTTAATATGACAAATTGGATGTCAAAGATGGGTGCCAGGTGTTGCCGTATGAAACAGAAAGGGCACATGAGTCAGCACTCAGAGCAGCCCCTCCTCACCCATTTACAGAGGTCAGATTTGCAGAGGTGTTTAGCTGGTGAGACCCATGAATTCCATGGATGCAGCCATCAGTGGGTATCCTGGGAGACAGAGCCTGTCAGACACAGCTCCCAGGAGCCTCAAACAGGAGAGGGGGACCAGCCCACGCTGCAGGCTCAGCCTTGGCAGCTAAATTTCAATATCCTGTCCCATTTCCCAGCAGCATTTCTGTGCTTTCAGATGGGAAATGCATTCAGAGCTGGAAGAGGTGCACTGCAGTGAATCTGCAGTGCATCGGGCAGAGGGATTTTATGTAACTTATCAGTGAAGCACTGTGCCAGGGACAGGTTACCCAACTGCAGCACCAAAGGCAAGGCAAAAGCAATTTTTTCTGTGATGTGCACACATCTCACAGCTTACAATTACTCTGAGGACACTTCACAATCTGCATAAGCTCGTTAATCTACTTCCAAGGTTTTTAATACATTTTCTTTTAAAAATGGTTTATATATAGCATACACAATATATTGAAATATATTTTTAAAATCTGCTGCCGTGCCTGCTCCCCAAATGTTTTCAACACTGATTTCCAGGGAAATATCTCCTGTGAAAAACTAGCTTTTATTAGCACAGTATTGGCATCCTCATTCCTCAGAAAGCAGTGTACCAGTCAGCCCACTCACACAGCTCCACATGACTCCTGCAGTTTGATTGGAAGTGTCCAAATGCAGGGAATCATTTCAGAAATCTGACAACTACAACTTACCCTGAAGAATTCTGTAAAAGGTTGAAACTTTCCTGAACACATCCCCCCAACTTTGCTACTTTCTTTCTCCTTGCTAAAATCACATTCCTGGCAGAGAGAGGGTTGACAATGAAACATCCCCCCAACAAAAAATGTTTTTCACCTAAATGTTTAGAGGATGGGCAACCACAGGTGAACTTCCTTGTTTTCCAGAATGGTTTAGACCCTCTCTAGGACTGATCTTCAGAGCTGGCTGAGCAACAGTAGTTTGTACACATGACAAAGGATTGAAAAACTCAACATTTCCCCAGTGTGGGGGGATATTTTTAATCCTCCTTCTGGGTTCACACAGCATCAACTTGCACCCAGTGTTTGTTCAGACTGCACAAGACAACTCCTCTGCCTTGTGCTGCCTGCATGAGCTCCTTGGACCACAAAGCAGCATCACCTCTAGCTGGGTTTGACATTTACCTGCACAAAACTCTCCCAGTTCTGATGGGAGCAAGAGGACAATCCCTGTCCCCAGGGGATTTCCAAAAACACTGCCATTGGGACTTAGTTCTTAGGATGAACTCCTAAGTTCATCCTCTGTTCATTCTTCTGAACCAAGAGAGCAGCTCCAGGCTGTTCTTCAGAACAGAGGATTTTAATTGCAATGAAGAAAGCTCACTGTCAAGTAGCCACACACTTAGAAGAGCTATCTAAATTCAAGATTTAATACTTTGGCAAATATTGGGGTTTGGGCAAAGGTTTTCTTTGCATTTCAGACTGTAAAATGATGTAGAATGATAAAGTACACGAAAAAGTCTGAGCTTTCTTCAGGATGCTGAGTGCACATAAACTCCAGTAACACTAAATATCTCATGGCAATCTGTCTTGTGGCTTATCAATTGTTGCCTGGAGCAAGTCAAGGCTTTGCTGAGCAGATTTCTGTGCCTATACCCAACAAACTTACATCATATCCACTGTTCCGGATGCCACGCCTCGGCCTTTCTCGAGTCACCAGCAGATCCATCTCCGTTTCCCCTGGGCTGGGACTGTTCAGGGACTGCCTGCTTCTGTACACTGAGTTCTTCAGGGGCTGCCTAGAAAACATCAAACAAGAAAATGGTAAAATGAGAAAGAAAAAATCATGACAGACAGTAATTGCCAATACTCACGTTTATTCTAAAATTATGACGTTCATAAAAATGCCACTTTGTTACAGGATATTCTTTCTACATACATGAAGTGCTAGAAATCTGTAACCTTATTAAGAGATGATTAATTGCTTGTTACAGTTTAAGGAAAATAAAAGTTACGTAAAAGGCATGGACATCGTAAGTGGGAGCTTGCCAGATGAAATATGTCCCAAGAAGATATCAGGAACCTTTTAACTTCAGCTGATATGATTCAAACTCATTTTAAAAAACATATTAAAAAATAACAGGCTCTCCCACACACACAGATGGGGAGCAGAGATTTTGGTTGCTGATCCTGAAAGCTGAGAGAGAAGCAGGAAAAAGCTCCACTGAAACAAACCCCCAGCACAGGGAATGGGAAGAGACACAGCAGTGGGAGGAAACTGTTGCAAGATGCTGGTTTTAAATAGCCAGTTTGGTAACTGGCCACAGCTTTCTCAGAGAGCTGTCCTTCCTGGCATTCAGCTGCTTCACTGGGACAAAGGGCTGCTCATCCCTGGCCACTGAGCTTCCACTGCTGGGTGCTCCAAGCCAAGGGGAAGGAAATGCAATAGAAAGGCAGAATAAAACTGAATATCCAAAATACCTGGTAATGTCTCCATAAAAACCATTTCGGCCCTTGTTGCTGGTTATACAAAAACAAATGCAGCATCCCTCTGTGAAATACAGAGCATATGTGTACATATCTGCAGGAGGGTTTGCCAAATGGTGCCACAGGAACTTTATGCTTCATCAAGCTGCATCTTTTAGGAAGGCTACTTCTACACCAGCAGAGTTTGTGAGTTGTTCTCATGCTTTGTCTGGTCATTACTCATTTTGTTGCACACTCCAGAGGAGCACTGCTCCTGAAGTAGATCAGTAACAGATGAAATAATGGCATGCCAGCTTCATTTATTAACACAGCAATTACACTGCTAGAGCCTGACACAAAGTTATCTTTGCCTAGCCATGCTATTTTTCTGCCTTGTGCAATTACTCCATTCAGAATATTAAAATTAGATCAGGTCATCTAACGTCTCTGTGCTGCTTATTTCACACAGAGGACCTGCCAGTGCTCATAGTGAAGTAAGACAAGTTGCACTATTATGTCTGAAGTCACATTTTCAAGTCACTCCATGGTTTAACATGTCAAGAACCATCAATGAAATGAACAGACAAGACAGTCCAAATTAATTCACTGATAAATAATTCTTCAGTTATTCCAGATCTTGTTAACAGCACTTTTTGCCTTGACAGATTAGAGCAGCAGAAACTGGTTTGCAGAAATCCAGAAAGTAGGACATTTACATGATCAGACAGGATAAAAGGTAGGACAAAAAAACCCAATTTCACTCTTCTGATTAAATAAATTACTCAGGCATGTACTTGGTTCTAAGACAACTTTCCAAAACTTCTGTGTGACCTTTGATCACAAATCACTGTGCTTGTGTTTCAAAGTCCCAAATGCACTTCCAAAGCAAAAGGCAAGCAGAGCTTTTGGAATAAGTTTCTCCTAGAAAAATAATATTGAGTACATTCTTTCTCGCTATATAGTCTTTCTCTGACTATATTGTTGGTATTAACAGAAAACAGGGTTATGCACAGGGTAACCAGATCTGACAATCTCCATCTTCTTACATCAAAGGTCTCCAAAATTTCATATGTTTTACAATAGGTCCATAAATACTTAGTTGAGGCAATTGTGATATATTTTATAAGAGACTCAAATATACAGCTCTGTAAAACGTGCAGATTCTTGACCTGATTGCAAACTATTAAAGAAAACCCAAGAATAGTGCATTTCATCATTAGGCTCTTAAAAATTACCTTGAGATTGCCAATTACCTCATTTAAGAGAGTTTTACTAATGAGAAAGGAGGTATGAACAGGAACAACTGGCATTCAAATGGGTTCAGAAGTGCCTTCTGGGAACACAGCTGGAATGTTTTAAAACATGAGGATTATGGTACTGATCACTGAAAGGTACCTAGAGCACAAAGCTCTATTCTGGAAAAAAAATCAAATCATTTAGCAGCAAGGCTTTGTAAATCACTTTTAAATACAGTTTTAAATTAAATCAAAATATAAAGGTAACCTTAAGTAATCAACTGCATCCCTATTTTCTAATATGTTTTGGAAGTGCTGTAACAATGCAACTTAAGTTACAGGAATATATATAAAACAGAAAATATGCTTACCCAGATTGCTTTTAAAGCAATTTTATCTCATTACAGAAATGCAATTCATTTCTGTAATGAATTCTGAATCATTCTGTAATGATTCTGTAATGAATCTGTATTGATTCATTTATCAATAACAAAACTCCACACTACCTTGTTGTGTTTTTCAAGGTTTTCCTCCAGCAGTGTAATATTTTAGCCATCTTAGAAAACTAAGGGCAATAATTTTCATACCAAATTTAGTTTCAGTGTGGAAATTTTAGCACAGAATTCAGAACTGGTTTGTTTGTAAACACTGCAGCATCTGTGAAGTTCATTAAGTGTTCTGTGTCTTCACAGAAAGTGCATCAGAAGCAATTCTCTCTCCTCATGTGGGGATACAGGTCATATATTTAACAAGTCCAGCAGCCAGCCTTTCATGGTGCAGCTGGAATCATTCCTCCACAGGAGTTTACCTGCCTCCCATCAGTCATTCCAGAGATCCCTGGCTGAAATAGACTGTGGCAAATTCACACAACACACAGGAAAAAATGTATGGAATCCTCCCACACACTGGCACATGAACAAACATCAGTGTGTTTAACAAAAGGCACGTGGCTGTGTTAAAGCTTGAGTTTAAAACTTTAAACACTTCCTATGAGCCAGGTGACACATAATAAGCATCCAAATTAATGTGTCACAGCCACACCAATGTGTTGGGGGACTCTGGACTAAATGCATTCCTCAACACAAGTTCCCAGTGCTCTGTCTGTATCTCCTGGAAACAGTGTGCAGAGCAGGGCTCCCATGTAAGGACAGGCTCCATTTTTTACCTTCTCAGTGTACAATAAATTGGAAAACTCCACAAGGAAATGGTGCCCCAGGACATCCAACATAACATACAGCTGAGTCAGTCTTTTCTCCTCAGTGACCTCTGCAGCCCTGGCAAACAGCTCTTCCAGGGCAGTATCCCTCAGCCACTGAACTCTAGACCTACAGAAACACATCTGATCTCAACTTTTGCCCATAATCTGAAGCAACAGTGCTCTTGTAATTCCCATTACAGTCTTTTTCATGCCTGTGCCCAGAGGGTAATTGCTGCAGCTGCACTGTGTGCAGTGCCTGTGTCACCAGCAATGCTCTGATTGCAGTCCACTGATGCTCATAGGAAAATTCTGGTCTGAGCTTTCCAGGAGATGGGATGCAAGATTGCACCTGCAGGCGTGAGGGGCCATTTCCAGGGGAAAGGTGCTTCAGTATCCCTTTTTCTCTCATGGATCAACTGATATTAGTCCCTGATTACAGTAAGAACCAGAGCCCTTCTGTGCAAGGTGTAATGGCAAACACACTCTCTTACCATCCCTCATCCTCTAGAGCTTCCGAGGAAGAGGAATCTGCACACTGTGCCATTCCTGGGGTAGGACTGGTGCGATCTCCTCTTTCCAACATGCCAGTTTGTGTTTCAGACGAGCACCAGCAACAGAGCACCCACCCACAGCTCAGGCACAATCAGCACCTGCACTCCCTCCTCATTTCTAAAATGGGGTTTTGAATGCTACTGCTATGCCATCCTCAGGAGACAGTGAAGTGTTAATCAAACATTGGCAATGTTATACAACATGCCAGCTTCACATGACAGATGAGCAAATTATGAATTTCTCTGTTAAAGGCACAGGAAGATCACCAATAACAGGCACACAGATATTATCACTGCAGGACTTACAGGGACAATGCACTGGTTCTGCTATCTCATGCCCTCTGCAATAGTTATATTCAGATTAAAATAATGACAAAATAGTAACACCACTGTATTTTGAAAAAGAACCAATCTGGATGCTAACTTCCTGCCTAAAGTCTGCTCTGAGTATCACCAATAACATTACTACCACTTTTTCTGTTTACCTTTGAGAATGACTCACAAGAACTTGCAACAGTCCCTTCACTTATTTTTTCTCTTTCCATTTGTTTGTTTTTATCCACACTGCAGTTTTACCAGAGAACATGTTTTCAATGGGCTGTATGAATTTTCTTCATAAAGCAGAAGGGGCCAGTGACCAGATACAACAAACAAAACACCTGGCTCATTAAAATGGCCCCCCTGGCCCCCAGGACATCAACTCTCCTCCCAGATGAAGAACTGCAAATAAAAAAGTCTCACCTGTTTTTAGGTTCAGCAAATGGAGATGAGACATCTGCATCTGGATCCAAAATATGGTCAAGTTCTTTCTGGTTTTTCTCATACATCCTTTTTCTGTCTGTCAGTGCCTTGCTGTTATCAACCTGTGGGAAATCATAGTACCCTTTCCTCTTGGCTTTCAGGCGCAGCTTGTTGCGGTAGTGCTCTATATCAGACTTCTGCTTCAAAGCCTTGTTCACCTAAAAGGCAAGAAGATGTTTCAGGGCTGCTGGTGGGCTGGCTACCTCCAAAGGATCTCGTCAGCGCGTGTTTGATGCGCCGCGTGTGTCATCCCTCTGTAGCACACCGTGCCATCTGCAAGCAGCGAGGAACTGCAAGTGAACAGAGCCGCTGCATTTTTATGGCTTGGCAGATGGTTAAATAATTTTAGCCTAAAAAAACTGTGTACCATTACAACAGTGACTCAGAGACACCCACTGAGGAAAAACACGAGTGGTGTCAGCCAACCGCCATGACCCAGCGCTGCATGTGCTTTGGGGCACAGCATGAAAACTCTGAAACCATGAGAACGCTGTACAGTACAGAGACATCCCCCCTGACTGCACAAAACCTGAAATAAGTCATCACTGATGGCTGGGGAAGAAGTCCAGTGAAATGTCATCAAATGTCTATTTTGTTTATACACTTTCTGTGTGGTGGTGTTCACAGGGGTCTTAGGATGAGGGAAGAGATGAGAATGTTGACTCCATGTTTCAGAAGGCTTGATTTATTATTTCATGATATATATTATATTAAAACTATACTTAAAAAATAGAAGAAAGGATTTTATTAGAAGGCTAGCTAAGAATAGAAAAGGAATGATAACAAAGGCTTGTGACTGACCAAGACAGTCCAGACAGCTGGACTGTGATTGGCCATTAATTAGAAACCACTAACACAAACCAATCACAGATCCACTTGTTGCATTCCACAGCAGCAGATAATTATTGTTTACATTTTGTTCTTGAGGCTTCTCAGATTCTCAAGAGAAAAAAAATCTTAAAGAAAAGATTTTTCATAAAACATGTCTGTGACACTCCTGTCAGAGAGGAACCTTTAAAAAATGGGTGTTTGCTCCATCCTGATACAGCTTAGTCCCATGGTTTCTCTAAAATATTGAAAAAACTTCCCTCCTGCTTCAAACTGCAAGTTACCTGGAAATCAGGGATGTACTTCATCTTCCATAGTCAAATTCCACAATCTCCTCAAACTACAGGAAGTGTGTGTGTAAGGGTGCACACAGCACCAGCAGTGTCATCCTGCTGCCTTACAGAAAAGAGATGTTGAATGCTAAATAAGCCTTTCTCCAAGTTTGGAAGCTACATGGCACATCAGGACTTAAAATGGCAGTATGAAATGGAGCACAACAGGCTGCAATAATCCAGGCCCACATGGGACCTCTGTCTTTTACAGTGTCCCTGGCAGCAGCCCTCCCTGCTGCTTTTAAACTTTTTTTAGCTGTTTAAGTGACTGTTGCAATGCGAGTTTGTAAACAAGGCACCTCTGTGGCTTGTTCCCATCATGTTCAACAACTTCATGAAAGCCTCATTCCTTTGCAAATGGACTGGTCTTGATTAAATCTACATCAAAACATGAGTATAAAATAAGTATTGCAGTCAAAGCATGCTTTTGGGCCAGCATCTGGAGCAGACATTCGTGCCATCCCATTTTTTTCCTTCAAAACAAGTGCACCCTCTGTGCAGGGAAGAGGCTGGAGTGCAGAGCAAGGCCAGGGTCCCACTGCCCCCCTTCTCACTCTGATTGAAATATAGTGCTCAGTACAGAAAGATCAGCCTGGCACCCAGATGATCTATACACATTTTCATAACCAGCTACAGAATTCACATAGGAAAAGATGTTATTCTGCTGCCTTCATTAATTATTTTTTTCAAATAGGAGAGAGGGACACTGGGAGGGTAGGAATATAGAAAATCACCTCTTCCAAGGTTGCAGGCATTCACAGGTGCATTGTGAAAGAGCAGATCTTAAATTCTCAGGTCTGTGCACCCACAGTGCTAATGAAACTTTATGTAGCATAAAGGTGACAAGCTCCTAGCAGCCTTCAACTCTAATAGGCTTAAGATCCTTCCACTTGTGGCTGTAGGCAAGGAAACACATGGAGACACTTCTCAGGCAGTCCTTACCTCCCCATTGGTGATGGCAGACTCCTGGCTCCTCTCTGAGGCAGCATGGACAGCAGGGAGGGCCACGGGTTTGATGGCGATGAGCTGCACTGAGCCCGAGGAGGTGTCGAAGGGGTCCACGGCAGATTTGGCCACATTGTCAAAGAGAATCCCTCCTTCCTCTTCATCACTCACGGCCACTAGAGCACATCAAACTCACTCAGCACAAAGACACAGGCATTTCTGCGGCCTGCTCGAGGGGAAATTCAGCAAGCACACGCTTTGGATTAATGATGTGCTCAGTGCACTCGAGGTTTCAGGCCTGGGAGACCTTTACACCGGGGACAAACATCCCATTAGAGCACAGGAAATATTATGGATTCAAAGGATTGTCTGTCCCTTCCCCAAAAAAGGTTCCAATCCGTGCTAATAAGATGGCAAAAAGGAGAAGAAGGATGCAGGAAATGGTATGAAAATGACAGTGAAAGTTAAGGTAGATGTTTTTCTAGGTTTCACATGGAAACACACACACAGGTGCCCACGTGCCAATGCATCAGTAGCTACACCTGATCAAACCCAAGAGTGCAGCTTTTTTTCTGTCTTATGCTGCAAGAGCAAGGACATACTCAAAATTTGCTAAAATAAACAGGTTTCTTTTTCAAAACTTATTAATGCTAAAAACACCACTTATTAAAATAAAAGCATTTTCTGCTGTGTGTTAAAAATGCTTAAGAAACTGATGGTATCTAATCTTATGTTAATTTTTTGCTTTGTAAGCAGTACCTCAGGTCTCTGTGAAGTTAAACTTTAGAATTTCTTAAGAACCAGAAGAAGATTTCAATAAATCTTTAAAATTAAATGGCATGGCAAAGTATCTTTAGTTTTAGATTGCTATATAAATAAATAAAGCTCCCACATGCAATTGGGCTCTTTCTCCTCCAAATTTTCTTTGCAACCCTGCATCACTTTGTCAGCTGTTGAATCTGAAAAATCTTACCCACATTTTGAAATAAAAGAATGACAGTAAAGCATAAGCACAAATTCTACAAAGAGATCCTTGCAAACATTTTTGAATAATTATGCTATTAGAGGGAAGAATGCTTGCTCCATCTCCTAGCTGACAGGAGCAGAGATCCTCTGCTAAAGAACAAAGTGGTCTGCTCTAAATTTATTTCCTCTGAAAATAAACTCCAGTTTAATATTTAATCACTGCACGAATTACAATGGACCTGTATAAACTCAGCAGTTTAGACAGCCAATGATTTTGGTAAGAAAATATTTGACAGCAGTAACATAAAACATGAACCCACTGAGTAAGCTCATTATCTCTGTCTGTGCTCAGTGTGACTGCACTTGGCACCACTTGAGCTTTTGAGCAATGGATGGGTTAAATCACTGTGTCATTAAATACTGTCCCTGCAGCTCCACACAAGTGTCCAAACATTGAGCCTTCAGTGGGTCTTGAGTGGCCCTGTCACTCCTGAGATGTGTGTGCCCCAGATGTGTGTGCCCTGTCACTCCTGGGGTTGCTCAAGCACCACAGATGTGTATGCCCTGTCCCTGGGGTTGCTCAAGCACCCCAGATGTGTGTGCCCTGTCCCTGCTGGGGTTGCTCAAGCACTCCAGATGTGTGTGCCCTGGGGTTGCTCAAGCACTCCAGATGTGTGTGCCCTGTCCCTGGGGGTGCTCAAACACTCCAGATGTGCGTGCCCTGTCCCTGCTGGGGTTGCTCAAGCACCCCAGATGTGTGTGCCCTGTCCCTGCTGGGGTTGCACAAACACCCCAGATGTGTGTGCCCTGTCCCTGCTGGGGTTGCTCAAACACCCCAGATGTGTGTGCTCAGTGGAATGAGCAGCTCACAAGCCCAGCTCAGTGACAGTGCCCCAGACTGCCAGGGACCACCAGGACACCACAGCAGCAGAAGCAGGGAATGAGGGGGTCCTCTCCTGGCCCTGACCACATGTTTCACATTCCAGTGAGTACAAAGGCATACCTTTATACTCACTGTAAGCATGGGTGCTCTTCCCTGGGGGCATTTGAAACCTGGTAGCCACAGAGAGCTCAGCTACCTGCAGATGCATGGGGTGTCCCCTCAGACTTGGTTTCAGGAGCAAAACCAAGAGTTTTTCTAAATGAAAGAGAATTCCTCTAAGACTCATTAAAGGAAAGGAAAAAGTAAGGGTGAAAAGAATCAGAAACCACAGATGACAGTTAATTTTTCTGGGGAGCCCTCTCAGTATCAGCCCTCTCAAAGGTGAGCACAACTCCTGCACCTACTGCAGTGCTACCAGCATGGAAATGAGAGCCAAATGCGGCTGCAAACTGGAGTTTTATTCCACCCCACCTTAGCAGTTGTTCATTTATAGTGTAAAAGTAGGTTTTTTTCCCCACTGGCCCTTTTCCACTGGAAGATGATAAAGAGAGCCTGTGATCTGCAGCCACTGGCACACTGCCATAACAGGGCAGGGAACTGTAGCAAGCACTGGGAAATTCATCCTTTGCTCCTCTCCATCTCCTCCCAAGAGAATTTACAGCAACCATTTATGACATGACTGAACCATAACAACCTCCAAGCTTTGAAAAACAACCCAAAGGAAGTCCAGAGAAATGTTGGGGAAATCCTGGAGTGTTTGTTTTTGCTGTGTATCCCTGCCCTGGGTCAGTCCATCCATGGGTGAGTAACTGGTCAGCTTGGGAAACTTCAGGAAACTGCCCACACATTCTTTATAGTCACTCACAATAATCACCTTTGCTTGTTCTAGCTGGCAACATGGTTTAAAAGTGATCTTTTAAATTTCTGTTTCCAAACAGATGCATTCCATCACTATTGTGGAGTTCTACTCCTGCCTCCACTGTGTGAGCACAGAGACTCAGAAGCCCGGTGGCAGAAAAAGGGCAAACCACAACTTAATCACTACTTAACAGCACTTTCCCACCTCTGAAATACCTCGTGCCAGCTGTCTCATGCCACATGATCCACTGAGATGGAATTACTCCTCCTGATCTTTCTGTGGCTGCAGCACATGATGAAGATCTACCCAGAGCAATCATTGATGTAGGTCGAGTGCCAGGTGCAGTGAAGAGCAGGGTGGCACTGGGTCCCTGAGTGTGGCCTTGTGAGGTCCCCAGGACAAGGTGAGAGAGGAGAATTTGACTCCATGCCCTCAGAAGGCTGATTTATTATTTTATGACATTATATTATATTAAAGAATGCTATACTAAAACTATACTAAAGAAAGAGAAAGGATACATCAGAAGGCTGGAAAAGAATGGTAATGAAAGCTCATGATGGACTCCTCAGAGTCCAACACAGCTGGCTGTGATTGTTTATCCAAACATGTGAATTTATTTTAATTACTGGCCAAGAGCAGCAAAACATGGAGGAGCTTAGGCTTCTCATTTTCCCAGGAGAAGAAATCCTGGCGAAGGGATTTTTCAGACAATGTCACAGTGACACCTGAGGAGCAGCAGCACCCCTGAAGCTCTGTCTCCACACCTCTGCAGCCACCAGGACACGAGGTCTGCCTCAGGGATGCTGTGCTCCCATTTCCAGGCAGCTCTGAGCGATTCCAGCCAGCAATGCCAGCAGGTGGTGCTGCCCACTCGTGACCAGCTGGTCCCATGGAAAAGGGCTCTGGGACTGCAGCTCCGAGCAGTTAAAAAACAATTAGGCAGGTAAAGTAGTCTGGTTTTATCTAGTTAATGATTTAGAGTTTAAAAAAAAAGTGATGTTTTTGTCAGCCAAAGATTTCAATGAGGCCATGGAAGATTCCTTGTCTCCTCTCTCTTTCCCTCTACCTTGTCTTTCTTCCCCTTTCCCTCATCAAAATAAGCCAGGATGAAGCAAAAAAAGGATTTAAATACTTGCACTTTAAAACAAATAAATAAAATTAAGGACATTTAAATTGTCTGTGAATCAGGTAACCTTCCAGCCAAACACGAGAAGCAAAGATTTGTGCTGTCCTGCTCAGAAAGATTTTGGAAGCCCTCAGAAAAAGAATGACATCAATAGAGAAAAACACATAAAGCCATAACTTGGGAAACGAAGGTGGACATGCTCTGACTTTTCTTACATCACTTAATGAAATATTTTTGAAGATTTATTTTAGATGAAGGGAGGGCAAACATTGTAAACATACCTAGAGTATATATATACCTGCAGTTTGACAAAGAGCAAGCACTGTCACCTATCTAAAAAAGCTCCTTTGGAAAAAGCCCAGGTATCAGTATTTCAAACAGAAATCCTGACACCTGAATATGATTTAATAATGAGGAACTAATTTTCATATTAGAGAAAATCTCTATATAAAGAAAAAAAATATACTTTTTTTCTATATCATCCAAGTTATTCCATTGAGAAGATGACTATCTCGAGAAAGATACAAAGAGATGTTTTAAACAATAAAAAAAATCTGTTTCTGAAGGAGTTTATAGGCCTATAAGTAAAAGATAACTTTCCCCACATTAGCATCTGAACCTATCTGGACAAAAATACCTGTCTGTAAGATATTGCAGTGTAACAGAAAACACATTTGTGTACACACACACTCTTCCACAATTACACCCAGCTCTGAAACACTGCAATGCTAAACCTCCCACAAACAGCACAAATATTGCATTTTCAGAAGCAGACAGCTTACAGACTAATGGAAGCAGCTCATGATTCCTCCTGGACAGCATTTCCTTGGGTGTAAATTCTGCTAAATGCTTGGTGATGTGCCTGGAGTGTTGCAGTCCTGGCTTTGCCGGTCATTTGAGATCTCCAAAGTGGTATTTGCAGGTTTTCAATGAAACTGTGTACACAGGGTGAGTATTTGTCCCTTAGCTGCTTGTTTGGTTCCCTTTTTGTGAAAGTTTCCTGTTCTTATAAGCAGGGATCTCTCTCTCTCTCTGGTTAGGTCTTCTTCTCCAACCCCATCTGCCTCATCTTTCTAAACATCAAAGTCTTTCAAAAAAAAGACCATAAATTTCATAATGCTTCCAGTGAATCCACCAGCCCCTTTTCTTGGCTGACACTTCTGTAATAAGCAGGTACATTCACTAATTAAAAGAAAATTATTTTACTGACAAGGATGATGAACACACAAAGACAGGGAAGACATGAGAGCCTACAACAGAAGCTTCTTCAAGGAAACGGTGCTGCAGGAGTTTTAAAAACCTTTGCAAAAATAGTTTTCTGTTTGCACAATAAAACTGTGCATTTGTCTTCTTCAGTGCTGACATGTAAGTGAAAAATCCCAGCCATCCAGACTGCCACTGGGTCTGATGGCATGAACATCTACATGCTCTTTACACTGCTGCTTGGATGAAAACTCCTGTCAGACTCCATTAGTGGCAGAGCCAAAGTCATCTAGAGGGGGAGGCAAACGTGAATGAAGAAATATTTAACTGTGTGACCACTTGCAGATCCCAGATCCCTCAGAGATCTGCTGCAACAGGCACCTTAGAAACAGCATGCAGTATTTTCTTGCCACGAAAACAGCAACCAAAAAGGGTCAAGAAAAAAAAAAAAAAGAAAAGAAAAGAAATTCTATTGACTAAGTCTGAAGAAAAAAAAAAATTCACAGTCACGAGCAGGATGCTAGCAGGGTCACAGTACTCTCACTATTTAAAGCAAATAAACAACAAAAACAAGGGCAGTAGAAGAAATAGAAACACTAAGGGGAAGAATTAGTCTGTGTCACACAAGCTGAAATCTTGGGGGAAAAGGGAATCAATGTGTAAATCTTCTGGGAGGTTCAATGGCAACTTGTGCCAACACACAGGATTGCAGCTGAACAGGTGGATTTTGTTTGTTCTTTGGGATTTTTCCCCCCCTCTAGTTAAATGTAGTAAGTTACTCCAAAAAGCCTAGGAGTTTGCTGTGAGGAGGTGAAGAGGCAGATGAAATCCTAAATTAACACCCATCTGGCAGCAAATGAAAATAATGCTTCAGGATGAAGGAATGGAGGATGAAAAGAGTAGGCTCCTTTCTCCACGCCACAAATTCTTCCCAGCACTCTGATTTCTCAGCCTTTCCAAGACATAGGCATCATGAAGAGGAATCATCTCACTCCAAATCTGCACAGATGCTCCAGTGCAGGGCTCCTTTCTCACTGGATCTTACCTCCAGAGATCTGTCCCAGTTGGCCATGACCCTCTGGAAGCAGCCCTTTCCATTCTGATTTGTACTTCACTCAGCACAAAAAAGACAGAAGAAGGGTGCTGAATGTTTGTTGGGATCCACCAGCTGACTCTGTGTCCAAGCTGCCACCAGACAACGTTGCTGTTGCCATATTTCCCTTTATTTTGAACCACCATAGACAACTGCTCAGAAATTCAGAAAAACAGGCTCTGATGCTGAGCTGCCACATCAGACAGAGTGAAAACTAGTGGCCCACGCTTCTGTAGAATAAAGGAGGCAATGTATCATAGCTAGGCTGAGTTACATCCAAAAATCCCTTTGATTTTAGCTAAACTAATAACACAAACAATTTTTTTCCCCTGCTACTTTGTTCCTGTAGACAGCTCTTGCCTTGACAAAAGAAATTATAGTCTTAGAGACTGGTATTTTAAAAAGGAGTGAGGCCCTTGACTGAATGACTTCTGAAAAGTACCGTTTTCAAAGACATTGTCCAAATGATTGGAAAATGAGAAATTGGTCCAGCTGGGGAAGGTTTCTTACACAAAGAAGTTTGACTCTTGGGGAATGCTGCTTGTACATCTCCACCTGTGGTGATGAGGTTTAACTATAAACCTGAGCTCAACTACACAAGTTCTTAACTTCACAAGTTCCCCACAAGTTGGGGAGTCATATGCTTCATAAAGAATTGATAACAAATCAAAACTTTTGGTTTTCCCTAAAAAAAGAAACTCACACTCTTCCAAAGGTGTTAATGGGAAGACTGCAAGATCAAGCACTTAAAGGTTGAAAAACAACCTACATCAATTTCATTGGCTCTGTTTAGTGAGGAGCTGCTGAAAGGAAAGGTTGCACTGAGGGCTGCTTTAGCTCTGTAGGTCTGAGTGGATTCAGCTTTTTGCTTCTCCCTGAATGATGTTTGGCCTGATAAATGATGGGCAGAACTGCTAATATCCTGTTCTTCTCTTCCACATTCTCTCACAAACCCATCTCAGAAACTGCCAGTACCTCTGTTGGCTGATTCATCCGTATTACAGTCCTCTAACATACATAACTAGGCACTTTTAAAAAAAATCTTTGGGGTTTTTTAAGTGCCTAAAGTAAATGAATGTAGAACTCATTAACTTTTAGAAAGAAAACTTCCTATTAATATAATAATAATAAATGTTATTCAAGAAAAAAACATGCCATTATCTTACAAAATCTTATCATTGCTTGATTCAAGTAGTTATTTTGTGTTTTCTGTAGAAATAATGCTCAGCTGAAGAGTTCTCCTGATCCTCCAAAGCATCAAGTCCTGAAGCAAAGCCTGTCAGTCCATGCTGGTTTCACATTGTTCACTCACAGCCCTGACACACTCCATGTGGAGTCAATTTTGAAACAAGCCATATAGAATTTAAATACTGAGGTAACATCCAGTGCTGTCATTCCTCCCTGCAACTAAATGTCAGCAAGAAATAGAATCTAAAATTGGTCTGTAACTATGGCAACTAATGAGCCATTCTGACTTGGAGTCCCCAAATCCAACATGTGACCATCAAGGGATTCATTCCAGTTTGAAGATGCTGCTTCTCAGAGAAGAAAATCTGCTGCTGCTTGTGCCAACATTTGTGTGAGAGCCACCAGCCAGGCTGGAGAGCTGGAGCAGGCTCAGGCAAACAACTGGGAGAAAAGCAGCTTCTTTCTGAAACTGGAAGGAAGAACAGACACCACCTTCTGTGGATGCTAAAACACTCTGGGTCAAGGTAAAACCCTGCAAAAAGCACAAACTGTCCAAGCTGACAATGATGTTCATAATCACAGCACAGAGGAACCAAGGGCAGGCTCTGTGATGAGAACTAATGGGTGCCTTGAGGCTTTGGATTTTAATTTCAATTTCAATAGGCATTTGGGATCACACAGCTCCAAACTGAACTCCATTAATTCTGACAAGGGGAGGTCATTTCATCTGCCATGATCATGTCCTCCTTCTCAGAAGCTGTTCTGAAAGAGTTGTTTAAGGAAGCTCTCCTAAATATAAATTAAAAGATATGCTTTTAGCTAAAAAGTTCTCCTGTCTTTACCAGGGAGCAAGGTATTTATTCCCTTTCCTATCTCTGCAAGGAGACCCTTTTTAGTGCCATGGCAGTCAAGTGAAGAGAGTTCTACCAGAAGCAGCTGAAGTCTCTACCAAGAGGGCAGATGTGGTGTCTCATGCACAGGTTTCTCCAAAATTTTTATCTCCAAAGGTTTTTCTCCTAAATTTTAATGAAGTTAAGATTAAAAATGAAGGGTCACTATTTCCTTCCATTACATTCAGAGGTTTATTTAGGTAGCATGTGTATGTTCTAGAAATGCACTACAGCCCAGATCAGAAGAAAGGATGTTAGGTGCTAGTCAGTTCTTAAAAACAAACAAACAAAACTGAGTTCTTACCAATTTTCTTTGAAGATGTAAAACCTAACAAAACACAAAATACTTTAACTGAAATATTTTGTCTACCCATGTAAACAGCACTTAGCATTGGTTTGAATATTGGCTTTCCTGGGTGGGTAAGAAAAAAGACATCATAAATTATAGCTTTTAACTGTGGGAAACACAAATGTTGTTGTCTTGTAAAATGAGCCACATTTCATACAGTGAGAAAATAATTAACCCCTTTGAAACTTAGAACCTGTTAGCCAGTTTTCTATTCATAAGGAAAACATAGCTATGGGAACAAAGCTATAACTCAGGAAAAATAAGCAAAGAGAAGAAAAAGCAAGAAAGAAACAGGATTGGGTACTTCTCTCATCCATCATGGATCATCACTGATCCCTCTCGAGGCACAAGGTCACCACCATCAACTAAGGTCTTGTAAGAAACATCCAGTGTGACATCCCAGGTGCATTCAGGAAAAGCTGCCAGTAAATGTTAATGACAAACAGGTGGGCCATGGATGTGAGGAAAGACGAAAGCACTGGATGTTTCACACTTTCTCAAATTAATTTCTATCTAATTAATTCATCTTCATCAGATCTGGGCCAGCTTAGCAGGAGTAGCAGAGAAAATTAATATCTTAGGGAACTACAAAACAAACAAAAAAAAAAAGCTGTAAACCCTACTAGGAAGCATCATGTCTTCATTAGTTTACTGGTATTCCAAGGAAAAAAAAGGGGGGGGGGATAAACAAAAACCAAGAAAACTTGCAAAGAGCAAGCACCACGATGTTTCATGGGATCTGGAGAAACAGTTAAAGCAGTAAAGGGGGAAGGGGAAAACCCAACAAATGAGCCACACACAGAATGCCCAGGGACTGCTGAGGGTACAAGAAATTGTCTCGAGGTGGTGCCTACGTGGGTGTGGCAGTGGGGGTGAGCACAACGAACCATTCTCACCGTTCCTTTTCCTGCCCTCGTCTTTTGCCGCTTTCTGCGGTGCCATCACTTTCTGCAGGGAGCTCCGGCTGGAGCTGGGCTTTCCCGACCCATTGCTGAGGATGGAGCCGTTCTGGCTCGGGGAGCGGCTGCAAGAAACCATAGCAACAAGGCAGGACGTGAGTTCTCCCTCCTCAACCTCGTTTCAAGGTTATTTCACTCGCGCGGTTTGCATCACTGAGTTTTCAGCTCTGATTTGGTACCGAAAGGAGACAGAATAGAAACAGCACACGGCAACACGGTACAGGTAGGAGCACAGTGATGGGAGGTGAGCACGACTTTCCCAATTAGTTCAGGGCTGATGGGCATCTTGGTGCCTTGGAATGCAACTGTTCCTCATGCATAAGCCCCACAATGATAAAAGTGCCATCACCGAGGACAAAAAGTCTCGTTGTCAATTCAGGGTCGTTAACCCAGACAAAATAAAGTAGACCTTTGTTTTAGGATGCATGGCTAAATCGATTCCTTTATTATTCAGCCTGCATTTACAGCCAGCTGTTGTCAGCCACAATGCAAAGAACACTCACTCACTTTGCACGTATGCACACACAATAAGAAATTTCTCCTTTTGGCACATGCCCTGGTTTAACCAGCACCCTCATTGGCTGAAACCCCTAAGAAAATGCTTGTTTTAATCAGCCACTGCACATCCTTGTCCTGAAACTGGTCCCTGCCCAGGGTGAGGAGGGAGGGAGGGCAGAAATGCTGTGCATCCAGTCCCAGCAAGGAGCAGGGACAGAAATGAGCAGCAAGTGAGTGAGCTCCCACCACAGCTCCCCTGCTTTTTGGGGTGTACAAGTCACTCAAATCCTAATGCACAAGTTGGCAAAAGCAGGCCACTAGTAGATAATAGCACATTTGGTGCTAGTCAGCACCCAGACACAGTCACTTTTTTTTTACATGTGAAACTGCCACAAAGGGAATGAAAACACTCCACAGGACCTGTGTAGTGATTCACAAATCTATCTGCAATCTACCACTGGGTTGTCATGGGCAGTGACAGGGTGATGTGAAGAGGTTACATTAGAGGAAAATAAATGGGCCTAGGCACAGAGGCTTCCATTTACAGAGGAAAAGAATCAAATCAAATTCTATTGCTGTCACAATGGTTTTATAACCAGAAAATGGTACTAAAACAAAACAAATGTCAAAACCATCCTGCAAATCACTGCCAATACTGTATCATCAGCTTGAAACATTCATTTACCTCCAGGTCTGGCCACCCTACCCGTTGTAAGTAGAAATCATTCACTGTGGTCAGAAGAGCAAGGGACAAATATGAGAAAAGCAATTCTTGGGGATTCCCTAGTATGTATAATTTGAGGCAGGCTCTTTCCAGCTACAGGACTCCAGGAGAATTCAGAATGCAACCCCACTCAGTCCAGCCTGAGGGTTTCCTTTGGAAATTCTATTAAAAATAAGTATTCTTGAGAAGCAAGATTCCTCCCTATAAACCTGTCTGTCATTGCTGAATGGATAATCCCAGCCCAGTATAAAAGATCCATCCAGGGACAGACCAACACCTGAAGAAAATCTGCTCAACTTGGGAACATAGAAAAGAAGGGAACATGGATAGCTTGCACAATGATTTCTGTGGTGACACTAATCCAAATATTCATCCTTTTTAAGTGGTCCTCATATTATTAACTGAGAAGTTTCTTTCAGTGGTGATAGCAAAGATACTTTGATCAGTTACCAGCCACTTCATGGCTGTCTGGTTTGAATTGACATTTCCAGGCTGTAAAGTACCCTGAATGAAAGAGCAAATACATAAAGGGCAAGAAAGATTTCTTCATCTTCAGCAACCATTAAATTCCATTTCCAGACACAGCTCCTGGGAATCAAAAAAACTGAAATTCTACATGTTCTTACTTACTCCAGTAATCACCCTGAAGGAGGGAAAACTAACTCTTAGTTATTTGCTTAGAAGGGCACCAAGGTTCAGCACATTTTGTAATGAGAATAACTTTCTTGGATCGAGTTTGCTTATCAGCATTTGTTTAAAATGGTGCAGATTAAGAGGGGGATTTCTGCACTCACTCAAAGGACTGAGTGAAGTGTTTAATCACTTTGGGTAGAGGATTAATTAACAGGGCTGATTTACTTTTTTGTGTGTGTGTGTATATTTACACATGGCTTTGGAGAGGTTTCAAAACATTTTAAAGTACAATTCCTGCAAAGACTTGACCTGCCCAGCACCAGCAACTGCTGTGGGTGTCACGGTCATCTTCCAGTTGTCATTTCTTCAGAGGATGGAAGGCTTTGGAAAGGACAGGTGCTGTTTGGTTCACATAGACCTAACCCTCATATTGCAGTGACTTGGAGCCTGAACAGCACCTCACTGGCATTAAACATTAAATGACAAAATAACAGTTTCCATCCAATTGCAGCTGGCTGGCTCCTCTCTGCTGGTACACCCTGCAGACAGCCCTTCCCACATTCCAGGTGATTTACTGCCCAGCCAATGGAATATGATAAACCACGATCCTTCTGTCTGTTTTTCTGCCAGGAAAACCTCAGCTGATGACCACTGGGGATTATCTACCCACCCCTGCTGTCCTCCAGCCCCACACCATGCTGGCTGACACCTTCCCCTTCCAGCATGTCCCTGACACAGTGTGCAGCAACACTGTGTTGAGTATTCCAAGCTTTCCCATTATTCCAGAGGGGGAAATATTGAACAAGATGAGGTGACTCAGCTAGGAAGGCTTGGTTTTCTCTAGAATTTCTCTGCATTAGTCAGCTGCTTTTCTTGTATGTTATCAAATCCCTTCAAGAGGCCAGGCCCGTGGAATGCCTGTGAGCCACACAACAACAGTTACCTCTATTCAGGCTGTTTGTCTAACAGGTTTGTTTTCCTCTCTTCCCTTCAGTATCCATCCTCAGCTCCACTCTCATTTAATGCCAAGGAGAGTGGACCAAGGAAAAACTGGCTTCAAAGCATGCAAAACAGCTGGGATAAAGGGATAATCTGTTTTCCTCGCCTGCAAGGACCAAGACAAGGAATATTCAGCTATTCTGTTGATGGGTGAGAGCAAACATGAGGTAAAACTTCCTAACAGGAAAGGCAGGAGAGAACAGATTGCTGGAGGAGGTTGTGATCATCCCACCAGTGGAAGACTTTAAAATAAGGTAGATAAAGTTGAGTTAGGGGGGCTGTTGGACCCTGCAGCAGAGAAGAGGAGCCATATAGCTCCCTGGGGATCTTGAATCCATGATCCTGCAAGTCTAGAGACTTCATATGAAGAGAGTGCACTGGGACACTTCACCCTAGACACTGACATCATCTAGTCTATTCTTACACTTCTGAAGTTTGGTCCTGCTGTAGATGCTTTGGATCTAGAGGTCTTCCACATTTAGTGGATATTTGGGGTTTCCCCCTCTGCTGGTGAAGGCATTGGGTTCAATTCTGAAGTGGCAGAGCCTGCCAGTGGAGTGACAGCAATTTACAGTGGCTGAGGACCTGTCTTTTTGTTGCTTGAGAAATTACCAGCACTCATGTTACATGTGACATTTGGGCTTATCTTTATGGAGCACCAACATGCACACAAAAGCCACTTCACCTCCTCAGTAAGACCTCACTTGGTTTTATCTCCAATTTGGCAGCGTTACCCAGCACAGACCAGTGTCATGCCAAGGATACATCATGGAGGGGAACAAGATTACACTGAGTGCCAAACCTTTCAGCAACCAGCAGCACATATCCTCTTTAACCCCTGTGTGGAAAGGCAGCAGCTGCCAGCTCGCACCTTTTCCTTGTTTCGTTGGATTTGGCAGTTTTGATGGTGCTCCCATCCTGGGTTGTTTCCCTCTCCTGGGAGGCAGGAGCGTCTCTGACTGGAAGTGGAAGGATGACAGTCTCCTGAGTCACAGGTAAAACCTCATCCTCAGCTCCCTGCTGGCCCAAGTGTTGCTTGGCATAGTCAAAGCCTTGCACTGGCTGCAAAAAACAGGGCAAATAACAGAAATTTCCAGTGTGTATTAGAAATTTTCAAATTCAATGTAAAATTTTTCACTACTCCTTAACTTTTTTAATTACATAAGTGACAGGTTAAAATACATAGATACAATGTGAATACCCAACAGGAAACCAATTTTCCCATGAGATCCCCATTCCACACATTTTAAACATGATTAGTTAGTATAAAATTGACCTTGGCTAACCTTTCTTACCCTGCTGTAACACCCCCAGAAATTACTTTGACAGACAGTGGGAGAACAGGGATGTGGAATTAAAAATTAGGAGTAAAAAAAATAAAACCCTACAGAAAACTTGCTTTGACAAAACCCTTGTGCTTCCAAAGAGGGTGGGAGTAATTTATTCCCAGTCAAGCCAAAGTAAAAAAGGCACACATCAGAAAGTTTCATGGGCAACATTTTCCAGAAAATAATCTTTTTCAGATCAGTGAAATTAGATTTCCCCTGGTTTGCCAGTTGCCTACTGGGAAGGATATTACTGATTTCACTTGTTTCTCTTGGGAAGTGGCATTTCACCAGAGCCTTGCAGCAAGGCAGTTCCTGCCCAGCAGAACTAACACATGCCTTCTGGGCAAAGCAGCCAAGGAAAGGTGGATTCTCTCAATGTAAAAATTAAACATTTAGACAAAACATGACTTTCCAAACTGCATTTTCAGCTGGAAGGAAAAGAGAATGGAAAAAAAAAAAAAAAAAAAAAAGAAAAAACCCCAACAACAGCAAAACCAACCCGCATTATCTGTTGGGGAAAAAATATGAAAAGTAAATCACTCAAAGAAATTCATAACCACCTCCAGAAAACGTGTTCTTGTTACACTAAATAAAACTAACTTACCAAAAATGGGAAGGTTGCTCTTCCTGAAGTAAAAAGACAATTGACAAAATGCTAAGAAAGGACCACAAAACACTTCAAAGCTGAGAAAGTGCAGGTTTTAAACCTCATACATACTTTGGAATTAGTTCATGACTGATTACTCCACGTTCCTGTCATGTCATCATTGAATATTTTAGTTCCAAAAGAAAATCAGCAAGAGAAAAAAAATTGCTGTTGGCACAGAAGAAGGACAAGCTCTGAAAAGCATTTTCTCTTGTTGTATCCCTTACTAAAGCTGGGCTGCAGCTCTAAATTCTGATACATTTCACAGGTGATCTCAGTCTGAAAATAACGGTGCTGTTTTTCCCTTTTTGAAACCTAAAAAAATGCTTTTTCTTTGTGTGGACCTGCATGGCATTCCCAAGCTCCTGCTCAGACTGAGGCTAATGGTTCCTAATGTGTTTCCATCCTTCAGCATTCCTCTGATAAGAAGCTTCAGTGCATTAAGGAGCAGGCTAATGCTGATAAGGGAGAGCAGACAACTCCACAAATCACCCCCATGGAACTTGCAATATATCAGAGAAATGCTAATTCACCATCACCCCTCCATGGCAAGCAGGGTATCACAAAACAGCCACCAGCAAATGAAGGAAGGGAAGCAGAAGCTGTGTGAAGGACAGTTAGGAAGAAATTCTGCACAACATCCTACATAATAATACTGTTAAATAAAATATTGCTTTTCAACCTCATTATAAATATTGTCAGTTAAGACAACCCTAGATATTCTGAAAAAAGGTAACAAGAGAGAAGAGGTGATTAAATCAGTTATTTCTCCCTCCATGCCTTTGAAGGAGTCAAATAATTTCAACTTCATCTCTTACTTAAAAAAAAAAAAAAAAAACCCAAAAAAAGCAAACAAAAAAAAATCACCTCTCCAAACAAAAAAACAAACCAAACCAGAATCTGCAGGACATGAGAATTACTAAAGAATTCTGCAGTGTCCCAGCTCAGATCTGCCACAGGAAGAAAATGAAGGATTATTTTAATCATCAGAGTTCTACTTACCACCATGTCCAGTAACAAACTGCAATAAAAGGAGAGCTGAGAAAGTCATCCTCATCAGCAGACATATTGCATTAAATAAAATTTGTTCTTGGATCCCTGCTCTGTAAAAGCCCACAGGAGCAGATGGTTCTGCCACCCCTGGAGGGAACTGGCAAGGCTAAATCACGACCAGGCACAGATGAAGCACTGCAAATGTAGATGTCCAATACATCCAAAATGCTGACAAAGACTGAAGGACTGAGATTCTAATATTGCTTTTGAAATAATAAATGGAGAGAGAGAGACCACTAGATTACATTGCCTGGCAAAGGGCAGACTGAATACAGTTGTTTCTGGGACTCTTTTTCCTTGTAATGATTGTGAAAAAGACTCTAAAGATGTTAAAAAAATATGTCAAAAAAAGGAAGGAAAGGAGGAAGGAAGGGAGGGAGAGAAAGAGAGAGAGAAA